CGGCCGTCCAGCCAGTTTTTAACCCAGCGTAGAGTGCACCCATCCAAGCCGTGTGCAGCCAGCTTCTCCAGGAGAATGCTGTGGGAGACAGTGTCAAAGGCCTTACTAAAGTCCAAGTAGACAACATGGAGCTGTAGCCAGTCCCAGCACACTGCTCTTCCTGAGAAGGTACTGAGCGTGGGACCCTTAACTTAACAGGTAGAAAGGCTTTATCCAGTCTCCAGGGTGGTTTCAGTTGTTTGGCTGGTGGGTTTTGTTTTTCCCTTGTACAAAGGATGGGAGCAGTGAACCCTACACAGGGCAAGAACATGATCATATTATCTCTGCTTGGGCTTTCCCAAGCCCACGGCTTCAGTCACCAAGCAAAGGCAGCCGGGATGCTGCTTTTTAACAAGAGGATGAAGTGGGGCTGAATCCATGGGAGGTGATGCAGTGTGTAGCTCAAGTTTCTTTATAGGAACTGTGTGCCTTTTTTTTGCCAGGGTTAAACCAGGCCTATTCAGTTTTACTCTTTACTGTCTCAACTGGTTTAGCATTCTGTTTGGCTAGCTCTATCTTGCTTGGAAATGCTGAGCTTAAGGTATAGTAACAGCTCAGCTGTTTTAACCAGCCCTAGACTTCTAACAGTACTACTCAGAGAAATGTGCCCTTCAGCAGTAGAATCAAATAAGGAGAAAACAAACGCCAACTGCTACAACAGGCATAAAACACATTCAACACAATCCAAAAAGTCTACACTGTGTGCCCTTTTATTTTTTTTTTAATGGCTTCATAGCATCTTAAAAAGATCTATATTCTGTGACTCAAGAAGCCACTGCAAAGTCTTTCAATGGTCATCTGGGTTTTGCACTCACCAGAATTTATATTTATAAAGTTATGGTTTGTACTTGCTTATCGCCCTTTCTAACATAAAAAAGTATCTTTTGTCCATTCCAGGGTTGTGCCTTTTACTGGGGATTCACTTCCTGGATTGCATACTACATCAACCATCCACGATATACGCCACCATGTATGTACAAGTAGAAAAAAAAAAAAACAACTGACCTTGGTTTTAAGAAGTTTTTGGTATGCAGCCTTCAGTCCTCCAAATTCAATAGGTGGCCCCCACATGAGATCATATGACTAATCTAGCCAGAGATTAGCCTTTACTCCCTGTCAGAAGGAAGATTGTTCTGCTGGAGGGACTCCTGCTGTGCCACTGAATGTATGTGCCTGTTTAGCAATGGTCAATCGCTGTCCAGTTTTATGAACTAGAAATATTGTCCAAGTGGAGAAAACACAAACATCGATATATTTTGCTCATCTTCACAATATTTGTATTAAGAATGCAAGAGAGAACTAGAGCTGGCTGCATTTTCTTGGAGGAGATATTTATTTGCTAAAGATACATCCTTTTCATGAAAATTAAGTTTTTTTTGTTGTTGTTTTGGTGAGAAACCAGTAAAAGTCAATCAGATACTACTGATAAAAATGAAAAAAAAATCCTGTGTTTTTTGCTTCCCCATTTCACTCATCATTTTGTTCCTTCTTATTATATTTTATTGTTGCACTGCGTTTTCTTCATTATTTTTTTCTTCTGGTTTGCTCTTTGAACTTTTGCTTCTTTTGAGCATAATTGTCATAAGTTTTGTTTCCTGCTACTTTACTTTCCTTGCTACACCTTAGTCTTTTCGTCTGCATCTTGTACTTATTTATGAGCTCTGGGAACAAAGGGTTTGCTTAGCCATTTTTATTTACACTCTGTTAAATTCCTAATTCTTTTTAAATCAAAAATTTCTCCTATATGGCACTTACTTTCCTTTCAAAATAACACAAAAGTTCAGTTTCAAAATGATGTGATTCATTGAAAGACAGTAGAATTTGGTGTGGCTTTAACAGTAAAACAATGTTGAAACCTCCCTAGATACAGTTTTTAGCAGTCTGGGCTGTCAGATCAGTAGGTGTAGCTTCTTTATAGAGGAAATCCTTATTTCAAGACACAGATTTCCAACAGAGAAAGCACTCAGAAGAAGTGCTTCTAATTGCTTGCCACTGCCTTAAAATGACAATTATAGGTACATGGGTCTAATGCTGGAGATCACCAGCTCTCTGGCATAGTTAGCTGGATTGATGGTTTCTTTTGGATGCAGGATGCAGCCATCCAGAGATGGCTGGTTTGGGGACAGGTAAAGAAAGGCAAGCGGGTAGCTGCAGAATGCTATGCAGAGAGGTAAATTAAAGCAGGCTGACAAAGGGCCCATGAAGAACATCTGCTTAGCAGCTATATATTCACATGGTGACATGTGCTGGTTGTTCTGAGGAGGAGTTTTAGTGCATGCTCTTGGCACCACAGAGGAGTCGTGTGCCAGCCAGAGAAAAAGGGTTCTCAAAAGTAAAGGCTTGCTGAGACTTGGTCAGGGAAGTGAGGTACATACACGTGGTTTGTGTCCCTCGGCCACAACCAAGGTTTACCTGAGAACTGTAAACCTTTGGAGATGAACATGATACAGCACTACAGTGGTCTGGGACAACAGCAAAAAGGAGAGGGCAGGCAAAAGGCAGGTAAAAATTGCAAAGGCTAAATGTATTTCTTGCATGGTGAGACTGTGAAGGAGATAGTGGCTATATAGTAAAGCCTCGCTACTAAAAAAAAAAAAAAAGCAATGGATACATTATGTCTTGGCTTCTCTGCTCATGGAGTCAGAAGGGCCTATGGATAAGGCTGTGATTCCTGGCTTGGTTCTGCCACTGACTTTCACTTCATCCCTCCCCTTGCCTTTCCAAGAAATTTAACACCGCCAGCTGCTTTGACAAAGCACATGGATATATGAAGATGACAAATACTAGGAAAAGTTAGGTGAAAACTGCTTTGAGATCAGTGGTGAAGAGACTGGCATTTCTAGAGTGCTGTTACTATTTGCATTGTCTTCATATTGTGTGTGATAATATCCATTCTTTCTGCAGAGCCTGTCAGGAAAGAAGTATTTCTGCTCCTCAGCACTAGATTAATTTCACCCATAGCAAACCATGTGCATACTGTAAAATGCAATTTATAATTTCATTCTATTTTCTAGCATTTGGCCACAGACAAGTTTCTTTTGCTGCCCTTGCTTTTCTGGTACGTACAAAAATAAAGTTTTATTAATGATTGTGGTATAGGAGTAACTCACGATTTAGCAAAATGCAGTAATGCTGCTATGCATTTGTGCATATATATACATCCACACCCACAGCCCTGTGTCCTTTAACTGGATTTAGTGATAATCTATTAAGGTTTCTAGGCCAGGAAGTCTCCTAGGACTATGTACCTATACAGAGCTTAATGTGAAGCACTGCGTCTGAGAGCCATGAGAACATCATCAGTGTTATTACTATCCATGATTGTGTAAAAACACTAATATGTAGACAGATTGGAACTTGCCCTTTTTAAAACACTGAAGAATTAAATCCTAAGCAGACTTTGTAATAGTACTGTGTACCCTGAATAACTTAACCTCAACAGCTATTAAAAACAATAAGAACAATCCCTGCCAAAATGGGTTAAGGCAAGGGAAAGTGCAGGTCATGAAGGACGGCTGAGACTACTGAACCTGATGTTTGAATGAACATAATCATATAGTGAGACAGAGGCTCAGTAAGAAATTCTCACATGGACATGTATATTCTCTTCCATCCTCTGTGGGCATTGCGCTTGGAAATGCTGAGTGTTGACTTACCCAAGCAAGCATGGGTCAGTAGCCAAAACAGTCAGTCTCTTTGAAAATCAGATACAGATCAGTTTCCCAAAATAACAGAAAGACGGGACAGCAACATGTCGAGGCTCCTTCAGGCAAACACTATTCAGAAAAGAATTCAAACAACTTAGCAATATTGAAATGCTTTCATAAATTGGGACCCTTAAAGATCACAGTTTTGGCAGCGTTTGTCTCCAGGGGTTGGCCACGCAGTTCTCAGCTTTTCCTACCCTAACAAGGTATAGCAAATACAAGCAAAATACTCACATGAAGAAGTTCATGCACTCAATTAGGCTCTATAGCTGAAAGCAATAATCCTGCACAGCAGAGACAGGAGGTTGTGGCAGCAGTAGGCAGTGGCATGCCCAGAGCCTTACTGTTTATGCCCTTCCCAAGCTCGAGGGTTACTTGAAACCAAGCAAACTGCTTGCCTGAATATTCAGTGCTACCAGTAAAACTAGTCCTTGTCAAAATCTCTGCATAGAAAAAGCCTCCTTTTCTAATGAAACATCCTTCCTCTCCTCAATGTAACAAGCCCTGCTAGAGCTTTTATGAAAAATGCTGCCATCAAGCAAAGAGATGAGTCCTGTTGGGGGTATTTGCTATAAAATATGGCCATCCCCTTCAGATCTGCATCAGCACGTGGTCTATGGTCTGAATTCTTGCAGCTCTTTTAAGAACTTCCTACCCATGGAAATGCAAAACCCTTCCCTTTCAGACCTTGTTCTGGCAGGTTCCCAGACAATGAATTTAAAACAGCAACATATAAAATAAAATAATTTGAAGCTGTTTTCACAGGTTTCTAAAACATATGAATAAAATATTTGGAAGATTTCTTTTTCCCCCCCTCTTTTAAGGCTTGTCTTTATTACATATCCTGATTTAGGTGTATACATCTGCAGCTGCTGTAAACAACAGTACTGAGTAATTTGAAGCGCGTCAGCAGGCCCTTCTGAAAAATTTTCATATTTAGAGAAATTACTCTAAGCTTTGTGGGGACATTTTTCTTATAGGGTACACATGGAATATAAAGAGGGGGAACCGTATGTAGACTTCAATATTTTATCGTCATAAATATGGCAAGCCTTTTTTCTGCTGTTCCCCACTGCGCCATATTTTACATCTGAGACACTAAGAACTAGCTTACATTTAGCAGTACTTCTCGATATAGAGCATTAGCAGCCACATTTCTAAAGAGGGACATAAGAGCTAATTACAGCAGAATGCAGCTGCAGAGTCAAAGGTGAGCCAATAAAAATCCCTGCGGAAATGCCCTTTGCTTGTTTTACTTAGAATTGATTATAGAATTAGTAGGTGTTAACTATAATGTGTGAGTCTCTCTTGCTCCACAATAGTATAGGCATTGCACATTTCAGTATGCATAGTGTTTCACAAAAACACTTTTAACTTTGAAACTTTTTTCTTTAAAATAATAGTAATCCAAAACAATCATGTTCCTAGCTCATAATTGGAAGTACGTAAATTAAAATTACTTCTATTACTATGGCTAGAATTATAGCTTCTGATACGATATTTTATAATAGAATTTCCTTTTCTGGCTATTTAGTGTTTTACATCTGGTGTTTATGATAGATGACAGCCAGTCAGTTGTAATTAAAAAACATAAAAGGACTGCAGGATTTGACCCATGACTACATAGCCATGCAGAATAACAGCTTTGCTAATAGAACTGATTTAAACTTTCCTAACAAAACCCACAGAAATATCTCTGCCAAAAAGGGGAAAATTCTTCAGCAATGCTATCTACAATGTTCTTTCAGATAATGGCACATTTCTATATGAAATGAAGTTACATATTCCTTTCAATTAGTTTTAACTGAAGTTTGTTATGGATGACTTTCAGAATTGGCTTTAAAAAATTGTAATCGTATTTCTTTTTTTCTGTATTAATTTGTGACTTTATACTTTTAATGTCTCTAGGTTTTAGCACTCTTCCTTTTTATTTTAATTTCTTAATTTTTCCAGCCTTGCAAAATTTAGAAAGACAAATGATATAAAAACCCACAACTTTTTAACACTGCATTTTTTCAATTTGAGAGGAGAAATCAGTCTTCAAGCCCAGAAATGAATAAAAAAGTTAAATTTAGTCCAGGACTGAAATGTATACAGCATTTTGGTTTTCCTCATAAAGCAGGGGAAAAATGAAAAACATAAAATTAGAATGTTGTATTGACAGGCTTTCTTTTTCAGGAATTGAAACTGGTTTTCCTACCAGTTCCCACTTCAAGTATGGGTAGTAATTGGTTTTGATTCTACAGTAGTTGTAGTTGATGAAGTACTGAAAGCCACAAACAAATCTGAAATCAGTTTGTACTACATGCTGTATAACCAACTGGGGAGACACAGTACCTCTTCCAAAGATTTAAACCATCTAAATATTAAAGACCAAGTTTGAGGGGTTGGTTAGGGCTGGAAGTGGCATAACCAGAGAGTAGCAGAACCAGGGATAATACTAGCTTCCTTCAGTTATCAATTCCCAACTACTATCCATTTGATCAGTCTGCCCTTCAGAGAACCGCTGCCTGTTTATTAACCCTATTTTTCCTTCCTCTATGACTTACCCAGAGAACTGGTTACTGTGCTCTGTAACTGACGTAACAAAGGTGTTACACTGAACACCTTTGAAAGTGTGGGTAGGAAGAGGGTAGGCACATTAACTCATGACATTTTTACAAAGCCAGTAGTCAACTTTTCACCTGCTGCTTTGAAGGCTGGATTACATCCAAATCCTGACAATGATGTTCAGTTCAGAAAAGTATGTTGCTAAATTCCTTAGACGCCAGGGAGCCTCTCTGATCTCTCCAGAGATTTGCATGTTGCAAATGCTGGGCATGGGAACCACACTGAAGGCCTGCCTGCACCGAGCTCTACGGAGCTGAAACATGGGCTTTCACCCCAGGCTGCACCCATGGCGCTCACTAGACACTTGTGCGTTTGACAAAGATCACATAATGTATTTCCCATAGGAGAGTCATTTCGGAATACATATTTTCTGGATACAGAGACTAAGCTGTAATGGGGGGACTCTGGTTATGCACTGCAACGCAGTTACCACAGCATTTTAGACATACAACTGAAAATATGTTTTTAATGTCTTGCAGATGTGTGAAGCTGGAAATCACTTTATCAATGTAGCTTTAGCTCACCAAAATCATTCAGGTCTGTCTTTGTTTCCTGTCTATTTAAGACTGAAGCATGCTTAACCTATCCGTCTTCTGCTGGTGTACAGTAATTTATGTATCTACATCCACAGAATAAAGAAAGATGAAGTAGGTACCAGGCCATTGATGTAACATCTTCAAAATAAATGTGGGGACAAGGAAACATTAGCAAGACTGTTGTTGTTCCAAAGCTTATAGCAAATTTATCTTAATTATACACAACTGCAATTTAAATATGGATTTAAACATGGAAGTTCTCTAAAGCACCCTGTTGACTGACAACAGAGGATTCCATTTCAAATAAGTTTCAAAAACTTTGAAACTAGATTGCAGAGTTCTTAGATACGTGCATCTCATGCAAAGATACACACACACAAATAGACAAAGATAGACTCGTGAATACCTACACAGGCATCAGTGTATATGTATGCTCTTAAAAGGCTGCTCCAAGCATGGGTTTTCAGGGTCTTTTGTACCATGAGAATAAAAGTTATACTATATATAGTAGAAAGTAAAATATATTTTCAGATAATAATAGTATAATTTCACACTATAACACCCTATTCAAGAAAATACTTCACCACGGTATGATCAACTTCATACACAGAAGTCAGTTTCTATTCCAGAAAGCTTTTGATGTGCTGTGGTTAGGCAGGTGCTTACGTTGTTTGTTGCAAGGGGCCTAATTAAGTTTAAAAGCAGCAAGAGCCAAATAATTCATCAGCATTCTCAATGCCTACAAGTATTAAAGATAGCATTGTAGCCAGAACTTAAAAATGAAGTGTTGCATATGTGGCATTTTGTGTGAGCGTTATCAGTGGCTGTGCAGAGTCATGCTGTTAGCTCTGGAGTTGTTTTCCTGTGCTACCCTGGGATGAAGGATGAGGATGCAAGAGGGGACAGGTTCACATTCCTGAGTCAGGCTGAATAAGATACAACTGCATCCTTTATATCCCAGAAGAATGCCCTTAACCCTCGCCTGCCGCCTAGTCTGCATTAAACTGCTTGTCTCCCTCTGAACAAAGGACATGCCAGACCTTTCCTGTAAAAACTGGTACAGGGCTTGCTAAGCAGCATTCTCACTAGGATAAATACAGCTTTTGCTGTCTCAAAAGATTTCACTGAAACTTTTTTAACAATTTGTACTCTGGGAGCATTGGCCAAGGGGATGCCTATTGCATAGCAAGTTGTGATAAGGCTCAGTTCCCCTCCCTGTACTGAAACTGGCTTTGTCTATTTGTTCTTTTTTTTTTCCTTCTTTTTTTTTTCCACCTTCTTTTTATTTTCCTTTCATAAAGGAAGTAAAGCCTGTTTTCCAAGTCCAACCTACAACCCCTTCACGTGGCTCTTCTTGCTGGTATCCTGTCCCAACTATACGTATGAGGTACATGAATTTCTTCTGCTTACATGCAAAGGGTAGGTGGTTACCGTGTTTCAGCCTTTGCCTGTAGAGAATCTGCAACGCCTCCACACAGTTCCCCCTGCGCATCAATCATTATGTTCTCTATGTCAGAGTCTCCTTGCGCCCACAAATGTTTCTCCACCAGACCCTTCTGTTCCCTCACATCAATATCATGACTTTTGTGTATACTCCCCTCCACTACAGACTCCCCAGTGATCCAAGGATTTACCAGCCATCTCTTCAGCCCCATTCAGCACACTGGGGGATCCCTTGCTAGCTGGTTTTTCTATCACATTTCCAGTATGAGTATGATGCTTTTCTTACAGAGGGAGCTTTTGGGGCTGTGCTCACTTGTGAAAACTTGCCCTTTTGCTTTACACAGAGTATGCAATTAACAGTGCCTTTTTCTTTGCAACAGGTCGGGTCTTGGATTAGTTTCACAGTGATGACACAAACCCTGCCAGGTAAGTTTGAAACAGAATGAAGATAGCCTCTAAATTGTTGTTTGCAGAAGTGAATTCTGGAAATCTAAAATTTGCCAAAAAATTTATGGCATATGAAATATTGTGATCAAATCCCCCCTGTGACATGACTGTATAAACCTTCAAAGTGCTGCCCTCAGAAAGATGCGGAGAGAACGAACACTACTGCAATACCTTCTTTTGATCAAAACCAGCTCTCTGCTTTTTGTGAAATATTGTTGTTTCTTCTGTTTCCACAGTGAAAACAGACCTTGAAATTTAGAAAAGCAAAGAAGTCAGTATTCTTCATTTACAGTCAATCACTTTTGATATAGGAAAATTTCTTTGCATCGTAAACCTGGAATAATACTTCTAATAGGGAGAGGAAAAAAGATGTACTTAATATTTCAAAAGAGGAAAAGCACACATGTTCCTGGTAGCATTTCCCCATTTGCTTATATCAGGCAGCCAGCTTGTAACAGCAGCCTGCTTAGTAGCATTTGCAACTCTTGCTCAGTACTTTCCTGCATCCTTAGAGACCTAAATACCCATACAAATATGGTCCCTGGGACTGAGCTCTCCAAAACATTCACTTTTTAATTGTTTTTCCATTCGAAAATAGAAACCTATAAAAGCTATTCGCAAAAAGTAGCCCCACATGGTTTACAAATGAAGAAGAAAGGAATTTAAAAAATGGATTAAACTGCAACATGCAAAAATTAAACTTTTAATTTTTTTTTAAAACATACAACATTTTTGTGCTTTAGGCTCTGGTATGGAAATGACCTGAAAGTTTGGGAACATTGTGGGGCTGTGGTTACGAGGGCAGGGAGCAGCAATATATGCAGCACACTCATCCTTGCTGTAATTGTCCCAAACATAACTTGACCAGATGCCAAATGAATGTTTCTGATCTACCAGCTCATTTTAAGGAAGAAAGGATAATGAATTTGCAAAAAGCACCTGTAAAAGCATTCCCCATTCGGTGCCACTCAGCCTGAAGGGAGAGGTATCCAGGAGACCACTTACTGGCTCCTGACAACCACAGCAGGGGCCTGGGCATCTGCAGTTGTTCGGCTTTGGGAGACCTTGCTGCCAGGTAGCTAAATCTGTTCGTGGGCCTGCTGCCTGCTTGCTCCAGGGCCAAGCTTTTCCTCCATGCAACAGGAAGTTACAGCACAGCTCCCAATCATGGTTGGGAGCCAGAGATAAAGACAAAGTATTATAGGCCAACAGCAAACCAGAAAAATAGTCGACAGAGGCCACGGGTGATTCTGTGTTGAGACGGCACCATGCCCAAGGAGGCCTTGTGATTTGTGGTGAAGTCATAGGTGATACCGGGTGTGTCTAATAGATGTGAACATCATCTGTGTGAATTCTGATGTGTAGGCTGAGCCTCAGGCTGTGGTATATCAGCAACTGCAAGGCTGAGGGCAAGGGCAGAGTTAACTTGTCTCTGCCCACAGAAGAGACTGCAGACTTTTCCATAAACCCTCTTGTATTCACAGAAACAGACATCGAAGAAGACACATGATCCTTTTCTTTTTTTCTCTTTTTCCTTGGTAGTTGGCATTTTTGCTTTCCTGATGGTCATCCAAATGTCTCTCTGGGCCCAAAAGAAACACAAGCTGTACCTGAAGAGATTTTATCCAGAGGTGCGGAGAAAAGCAGCTATGATTCCTATCATCTTCTAAGCTCTTCGCAAGAGTTGGAGCCTCAGTGTACGGTTCAAGAGCTAACTCAGAGTAAATGAGCCTTTTCATTCAGTAACCAAAGTGGATCAGAGGAAGAACTACTGGATATCTTTTTCAGAAAATTAACAGTTCAAGACGAAGAGCTTTTAATTAAGTGAAAAAATATAGCTCTTGAATTCTTGGTTCCTGCTAAAAGATATGATTTAATTAGAGTTTCTGTAATGGAGCTAATTGGGAAGGGACAAGAAAATTGCTTATGTTGAATGTTAGGCTAGATATTTAGCTGGTAAAAATGGGCACAGATGCTGTTAGAATTAACAAATACAGCTCATCTGCATGCATTCAGGTCTAGTGATTTTAAGGTTCAGTGTTAGATGTTGACTAGAGTCTTGAATTTTTGCATCAGAAGATGTTTCACAGCCTTATTTTATTAAACTGCACAGAAACAGCATGTTCTGCCTCAGCTCCTCTAAAGGATCACATCAAAGAACGACTGCTATGCTGTTAACACAGTTTAGTCTAGCTTTACAAGGTTTTTCTTCTTTTTTTTTTTAATTGAATCTCATAGAAAATTGTTCAATACAAATTGGCTTAAATTGATCACTGCACAGAGGTCTGGCTTTCTTTTATTTTCAGGTAGGCAGATCAGCCCCACGATCCCAGGAGGGGACTGTTTGTGAGGTGCTTCCCAATTTGCTACTAATTTGCAGCATGACCTTGGGTACATCATTTAAGTCCATCCCCCTTTCTCACATTGAACAGTTCTGGAAATAGCAGAAGACTTTCTGGACTAACAAGCGTGTTAAGATCCCCTTGTCTGGATGCAGTCAGGCACTGAACACCATTCCCCTTACTTGTGTGAAGCACTGTGAAATCCTTGGGCACAAGGCGAACCAAAGTACAGCTCGTTATTGAAAAGGAAAGGGATCCTGCCAAATGCATTTCAGTCCATATCTGAACTGCCTCAGATGGACACTGCTGAAAGGCTTCAGCTCCCCTTCAATTTGGTCAGTCTCTGTCTGCTACTTTGCTTTCCAAGATATTATTTTTTAAGGGATTCTCTGGGCTTGTTATTCAGGTCCTGAAAACTCTGTTTAGCTCCATTTGCAAATCAGTGGCATCCATGTCATGCAGAAGCACAATTTTTAACAATTTGAGTTACAGAGAGCAAAAGAACCAGAACTGCTTCAGCAAGTATTAAGATATGGAGAGTTAGGGCATTAAGTCCAGTTTTCGTTCTCTTTCTGTTGCACATTTATCAATGTCTTTTGGCTCCCTTAGGCTGGTGAAAAAGCTTGCCTAAAGAACTTTAATCATTAGAGAAACACCGGAGTACACAAGCAAGGCAGGCAGTTTGTCTCCTAAAGGCGCTGTTATCTGTGTGCCAGCTCAAGTGTTCTAACAAAGTTAATTTGCCCAGTAAATTGGGTTCATATCCCTCTTCTAATGTCTAACTCACAACACTTATCCTATTAGCCACTGTAACTCAATTTCATCTTGGAAATGTAAATAAATCGCTTTCCATATTTTGTAACTTGTAACCTGTGAACACCTAGAATTTTTTATTACTCTCAATGGAAAACCTGAGTCACAGTGAACATCAAGTTCTCTAACCCAGACTGCTAATAAAGATCTATTTTTGAAAAATTATTTTCTGTGCTCTTTAGTCATGTATACCTAACAACAATATTTTTGAAACCCATTTTTTTGCAGCCAGTGTTAGATGTGTGAGTCAAGACTGTTGTCTATTTTTTTAATCCAGGTACTGGGATTGTTTTCATTTCATGTTTATTAAATGTCTCATTTTAGCAACCTTGAAGTTTAAAATAGTTCATGTGGGAGGGTTACTTGCCAAAATTACTTCCTTATCTGTTAGTCTCTTGATTACAATGGCTGCAGCTTTAAGTCTGTTCAAGGCATGTTTCCAGAGTGATTCCAATAGCTAGAAGCGTGGTTCTTATTCAACAGTTAGCTTAGGTAAAGGAAGTACTTCAGGAATTGTTTACCTCCCTGATTATCAGTTGGTCATTCAGTACATGGGGTGGGGGGGAGAAGGGTTTTGGCTCCTGTAGTAAATGACTAAAGTTTTAAAATGAAGAGCACACGCTAGGTAAGAACAAATGAAGATAACGCTACAGAAGGCATGATTTTAGCCACAAGTACCATGCACCTCTTGAACCAAAACAATTGTCTCAACACAAACATTTTCATGGAAAAGTTTGTCATGACTGTGCTGATTACCTGGGGAAAAAATGCCTTAATGAACTCTAAATATATTGGTATTTCTTGTATTAGGGCTAATGAGGAAGTAAATGGTTAACTGCAAATTCCTTTGATAATATTTTCTCTTAAGCACAGACCTAACTTTTTCAGAGCCATCAGCAGAAGGAAGGCATGGGCAAGGCCACACCACTACCAGAATGTCATCATGATTCAAGGTCAAAGGGAAGGAGTCAGCCTCCAACATGAACCGTCAGATGCAGCTCAGGTAGTTGCTCCCCACTTTGGCCGCTCTTAATATGGAGCCTCTTCACAGGCATTGCTAAGGATATCACTGTTCCAGTGCATTGGATGCACCCGTGTCCAAGGAAAAAGGAAAATAATCAGGACAATGTGAATTACATTTTCCAATCCTTTTTCTCCATGAGGGCCATGAAATCCACTACTTGCAACAAAAACCAATTTGTCCTTTGAGCTAAATCCCTTGATGCTGCTGTTTTCCCCAGTTTTTACACCTGGAAAGGTGACAGACTGCAGAGCAGTGAATCCACTCCCCGTGGTGCTCTGCCCTTTGCTCCCAGGGTCAGCCTGAGTTGCCCTGTGACTTCTGTCAGCCTGAAAGCTTTCCTAACAGCTCGTAGAGGCAAATTATGACATTTGTGAAAAAAGGCAGGAGGCAACTACACCATATAGCAGAAAAATCGAGTGGGTGAAGTTGGAGACACATTCTGGTTCGATATGAGGAGCTGTTGCAGTCACTGGCACAGTTAGGCCCCCATGCATAGGGGCAATTCCTGCTCAACGCTCCTCAGAAGCTAAGCCATCTGAGCCAAGAGACCATAAATGAAGCAAGGTAGGGACACATTGGGCCTACTAGACAACAGTTTTGGCAGGGACTGTGTAAAAATAAATCAGATTAAGTACTAATGGGTCCTTCCTAGCCTGCCCAACAAGGACTGTGCAAATGGCATTGCTCGGCCTGAGGGCTCAAAGTGTATCTCAAAATAACCGCTTCCTGGCCCACCTGGAGAGACTGCTCAACATGCAGGTCCCTCTATGTTCACCCTGCAGCTTGCAACTGGGTTTCTGCTGTGATCCTTCAGATGGGCGAGTCTCATCTTTCCCAAAGTATTCCCAAGACTTTCAAATTCAGGAGTGTAAAATTAAGCCTTCAGATAGGCTTAATGCAGCTCTGCGTTTTTGTGGTCTGCTCTTGCCATGAAATGCCAACCTGGAAAAGAGCAGACACCAGCTTAGGTTTTCTGGCAGTGCAGGGAGGCGTTATGATGGGAAACCAAAATGGCAGATGCTCCTGTACACAACTTGGCAGACTATATTTGGATCCCCAGTTTGAAAAAGCCCTTAAGACCCAGCCATATGCTTGTATTATAAGACGGTTACCACATCTTCGCAGCTGACAGGACTGAAAATTATCTCCATGATTTCATCTTTCCATAGGGAAAGTAGATCTTGAAAGGACACTGAAAGCAGGAGAAGTGAATAAAGGCAGATGGTCATCCTTTTTAAAAGATGCTATTATCATCAAAATATCTTATACTTTCCATTGTTTTGTATAAAGAAAGTGACTCTAAATTGGCTTTTATCACACTAGGAACTGAGATAAAGCAGCCTGATATCAAAGCAGTTCTCTGAAAGAGAGCCTGCAGTGATAGCTAAATATAATAAAATAAAAATCACTGAATGTGAAGACTTCTAAAGCACACTATAAGAGGAAGAAGGCTATAGGAAAGCAAGAGACTAATTTATCTATTTATAGTTTTAACAAGCGCTGCTGAACTAAAAATTAATTCAAACCATAAAGAGTTTTCCAGCAAGCTAATATTTTCCACATGATGCTTTATTGGCTTCCCTTTTCTATATTTTCCTAGGCACAAGTTTTGTCTTCAAGCGATATTCCAAGTCATTAACATTCATGAAAGCTTTTAGAGAAACGCACTGTATGCCTGTTCCAGTGTTCCACAGATAAACGTAAATGAAGTGTTGTGCTGTCATTGCACACAGATTAGTATCTACATGAATAATATTTTATTATGAAAAGCCTGGTTTATCATAGGTGAGTGTATAAAGGCTGCTGTATAGCTACGATTAAAGGCAATTTTCACATCACACATGTTTAGCATCACAGAAGAATGTTTGTTTTCATCATCTCTGCACATCTTCAGCCATATGTGACTCAAACATACAACTCTTTCTGCAGGTATCAGAACCAAGAGTCGAGCTGTCGTAGGCCTTTATCATGGTCCTGAGGTTTGGCTATTTATTTGTTTAGCACACCAGAGACTGGCTCTCACCCGGCTCTGCCCCGTGAGGACATCTGAGAAAGCATTTCGTTGTCCATCTTGTCCAACTGGACAAGCAGTTGTCCAGGTGAGGAGCGTCAGTCACTGCGTGACTGAAATAATCCGCAGTGAATTTCCTTGCAATGTAATAGTCAATCTAAAATCTCTTTACCAAAGGAAAAGACAAGTTAATGGGTCCTGAAATATGTGTGCTTAGATTAAAAAAAATCTACCACATATTAACACCTCCACAATACCCAGGCTTCTAACATATACCTGCTTTTATCTAACTTCTAAAGCCATTGAAGACTGAGGAACCAAGTAAGAGGAAATCATTTATAGTTAAAAGAGATATGATAAGAGTATTCAATAATACTAATGAATTCCTTATTTAAAAAAGCATACTTCACATCTTTTGTCAAAGAAATCTGATTGTTAGCCAGCTTCCTCCTAATACACAGTATTATTCCTGTGAAAAAGTAATATAGCTCTCCTAGTGATCCCTTCTATTGTTCTGACTACCCGGCCATACTCAATAAGGAAGGCTTTTCTTTTAAAATTACAGGTTTCACCATTTGGGGGCTCTTTTAAAGATCTACAGGACAGGCTCCAAAGAAAACATACCATATCAAACATTCTTCTCCTCTTATTTGTACTGAAAAGTTGATGAGTTTTCAGTTGACTACTGAAATACTGTGACACTAAGTTACAAAACAAACAAATATTTAAAAAGCTGTCCCTCTCCTCAAGACAAGAATAGAGAAAAAAAACAAAACAGGTACTTTTTGTCTTTTCTATTAATAGCATGAGGCCACGAACCTGACCAGGTTCAAGGGCATCCTTGCAGAAGGAAACATTGATTAGAGAGCTGGAAGGACCAGAATGTGGTCGCAGTGTGCTTTTAGGGATTACCAGCTATGTCTTTTTGGAAAGAAACTTCACTGTTTCTGACAACTGAGCTTTACAGAAATGGATTAAAGATGACACATCTCCAATATTGTATCTAATGAAAAACAAAGTACCTATTCTTAAATCAACAGGGAGTATTTCTCACATATACAGAAACTGTATTCTTCCACCCTCTGGTTTACATCATCTCTTTGCAGAAGGTGCTTTGCATTTGGACTTGTATGCCTTTCATTCTAACTGTTAATTATTTACCTATTAGAGCTTTGATATATGCAGTGATGTCCCAGTGTTAACCAATTTCAGCCCCTTGCCATTTTTACGTATCCTTCCAATAGCCATGTGAGGCACGATGCCATGTTCAGAGACTTGCCAAACATCCCAC